AACTAGATCAACAGGAACAGATATTGATCCAGACTCACACCCGAACACAGAGCAACCAAAAGATTTGGGGCTCAAACAGGCCAAATAAGGCAGTACGGTCACCTCAGCCGAGGTGTCTGCCTAGGATAGAGATTGAGCAAGCAAAGGAGAAGGCAGTTGGCCGGATGGAGGCAGAATGGATTCATGGTTAGTATCAAGATCAATAGGTGGTTCATCCTGTACAGAAGGATGCCATAGAGGCAGTTGAGAGCCTACAGAAGACTTTTTAGATTTCTCTGGTTTGGTACCAATCGGTTTCAGAATAGTTTTTGGTGTTGGGGTCGATTGTGACGTTGATGTGGAGGACTTTGACTAACGCAATTTTGGCTTTAATTTAGGAGTTGGTAATGGGGAATTAGTAACCGAAGAAACCAGTGGTGGTTGTGAAGCCTGAGTCTCATCCATCTTGGATGGTGGATGAAGAGATTGCTTCTACAAGATTTATGGTGTTGTTGACGGAGCTTGATGGCTTGTTTAGTAAAGTTTTTACAATAGGAGCAGGAGGCTGGCTGGTGTGATTCTCCCAAACAAAGAAGACAAGAACCGTGGCTGTCAGAAACAGGCAACTTATTAGTGCACAAAGTGCACCTCTTTTATGGCCCCTGTCAGGGCCATAAAAGGTGGGAAGGGAGGGTGAAGGGGGGTGGATTATGGAAAAAAGTGGTAAAACGACCGAAAATCACAAAGATGTAATGAAAATAATATTATAGAACAGTCTATTTCTAAATAAGAACGACACAATGTATTATGTCTCCTCAGGAAAAAGGACCTATCTGCGCAAACTGAGAGATCAGAAGGAGACCTCAGTAACAGCAAAAAGGAACTAGGTAATCACTATGACTGGCAGACCACATGTACTGGGGGGGAGCGGTCCTAGCAAATGCATGTTTGAGCTCTAGAATATTCCGGAGATCTCTGTACAAGTACAGATTAAACCTATTAGTGTGCATTCAGAGACCATGAAGAAGTACTATCTTACTCTCTGGAATTTTATGCTTTATTTATCCATACCTAACTCTCTAACCCTACATTCCCTTCCCCATAATCCTACCCCCATTGAAAAGAATAAAAAATTAGAAATTAACTATGCAACTATGAAGACTGTAGAAAATTTGAATTTACACATTAGCAATTCATTTGAAGATTGTTTAGGGAATGTTCTGAGATGCGTCAGTAGTGGAAGACATCTTTTGTAAATATGCCTTTGGAAGTGGCCTGAACACCTAGGGTTGCAAATGTCTTTGCTACAAAAAAATAATCAGTTACACAGTCTGGCCAAAATCCTGCCTGCTTATGTGAATGGGCAGTTGGACACTGGTTGTGAAATCAGTAATGGCTAATTGTGCTGCTTGTTTGCCTTTGCTCATATAGTTTCTCTTAATACAGTAGGACCCCCATATTTGTGAGATCAGTATCCATGATTTCACTTATCCCTGGTCTACTAAAAGAAAAAAAATCCAGAAAAACTATGTTCACATGTGTTATCAGAGCTGGCCACTAGATAGAGCCAGAGAACATTCTATGAATATTTGATAGAAAAGAATTATAATGTACAATTCTGGCTGTCTAAAGGTTCGCGTGTGAAGTTAGGCGGTTGACTTAAATACTGAGGAGATGGAGTCTTTTGAACTTGCGGCAAAGAACAACTTTTATTAACATTCAACACTGGGGTATCAACCACAACTTCGGTGGGCATCAACATTTCCCACTTGCTAAACTTTCTGTCTAACTGTCCAACATTATTAACCATGTAATGATGTCCATGTAATGATGTTTCAGAACGGGGGAGCTGGTCCAAAGCATTCCCTGTCGGTAGGTTTCTGAAGAGGGGAGCTCCTTACTGCGCAAATTGCCCCACAACAAGGGTGGTGAGCCCAAACCCCCTCGAGTGGTGGTTGGTTGAATGTCGAGTCCGGGCAAACCACCTTCCTCCAATGACCACGTCCTCTCGGGAAGACCACCATGGTCCATTCCAAAGTCTCTTGAATCACCACTCCTTCAGGCTTCGCTGTGGGATCAGGCAACAGTCCTCCCACTTTCAGATTCGGGAAATCATCAATTAGGCTTTTTACTCCACTCACTTTCACTTCTTCCCTCTCTCTTTCTTGCCCGTTATTACTTGAAACTCCCACGCGCTATCCCCCTCTTTTATGCTCTCCTCCCACACATCCACCCATTGCTACTCCTCCTCCTTCCCTCCTCCCTCTGACAGGCACACTTCGGTTTTAACCCCCTCTTGTGTCTCCTTTTCCTTTGACTCCCTCTCCTCTCCTTCTCTCTCCTTGGTGTTTGTTTTATCGGGAGGAGACGGCGCACTAGCAGCCAGTTGTTCCTCACACTGGCATTTATGTTTAACTCTCATAATATTCTCTCACAATTTATGTTTCTGAGAGTCAGCTAATTGGGTCCTGACTGACAAAGTCAAAAGTTCAGATTGCCTCAGACCTGAAGTTTATTTGCCCTTTTAAGATTTGAGCCAGGAACCTGGTCTCGGAAATCCTGAGATAACATACTGAGACAAACACAACTGCTCTGTGCTTTTGTAATGGAAAAATACTCTGAACATGCTTACAAGGCTGTATGTTAATTCCCTGGATATACATGGCAAAATGTCACTTTCTACTCCATTGCCTGCTTTAAAACAGGCTTGTCCAACCTGCGGCCCGAGGGCCGCATGCGGCCCAGGTCAGCTCATGATGCGTCCCAGTGCAATTTTTTATTTTAAAAGAAATTCCAAAGTTTCAAGTTACACTGCCGGTGCTTGCGGCCGGAATGCAGCCGGGGCATGTCACAACGGTAGGGGGGGAGAAGGAAGGAAAGAGTGGGAGGGGAGGGGAGAGGGTGGCTGTGTGACTGCATTGCACCATCCCTATCAATAGGTGGACCCCCTCCCGGCCCCATAAAGCCACCAGAGTCGAAGCTGGCAGCCTCTGCTGAGATCACAGCTGCCAGTAAGCGCGCTTGGAGCGGGGCTGCGGAGGACGGCTAGGGCTGCCCCCCATGTGGCCCAAACCAAATTTATGTGTGGCCCAAACCAAATTTTCATCTTCTAATGTGGCCCAGGGAAGGTGAAAGTTTGGACACCCCTGCTTTAAAACAAGCCTGTTTTTTTTTACTCTTCAAAGAAAACATGTTGTCTGATTGTTTCTGAGACCTTTCATTGGCCTCCAAACATCTTCCTTCCAGGCCACAAAGCTGCAACAGTTAATTTATTTTAGGTTATCAGTCACTTTGAAACATATGGCCTCCTTCCATCTTGGGTGATGCTAGGATTCAACCACTAGTGAACAATTCCTTCTCTTCACAAAGAAAAAGACAACTCACTTCACATCATCTGAAATGAAATGTGATACTGTCAAGAAACCTCCAACTGAATCTTGAAATCTGCAGCATCTGTCCTGCAGCATGACTGAACTATAGATCCTGAAACTTAAACATCAAACTAGGACAATTTTTGGAATGTTCTGTTTCTTTCCTCACCACCAATGCAAGCTCTGCATTGTCCACTCTAATGATGAGTCCTGCAGGACTCAAATAACTTTTTATCATCATTTTAGTGGTTCAATAAAAATATTCCCCATTCTGGTGTTTTGGTATGTTTTTTAAACCAAACAATCCATTGGAAAAGTACAATAGTCAACAGATATATTACAATTCATACATTAGTCTAGGATATGCAGATAAAATCAGTTCTTACTAGGATTCATGAAGAGCAAACTTCTCTAGCATCTTCTTACATGCTGGATAGATCAGTGGTTTAGGCAACTGGCTGTAGAGCCAGAAGTTGTGAGTTGTGAGTTTGATTTGATGATACACAGGGTCCTTTCCAACTCCGCAATTCTAAGATTATTATTATTATATTAGTATGTCCTTTATTTTATGAAAAACAACATTCAATGTGCAATTTGGGTGTAATTATCAACTGTTTAAATTTTAATTTCACAAAAGAAACCACAAACACTTGTATCTACTTTAAAAAAATCTGCCGTTGCTTTATTTTTTTTCTACTGTAGTGTTAGCACTCAACAATAACCATCACTCTTCTATTATTTACACTTCTTTGTAATATATTCTACAAATGCACAATTAATTAGATATATTTGGGGAAATGAACAAATTTGTAAGGCTTAAAAGTGACACATCTGTACAGTTTCTCAACATTTATAATCCAAAACGTAAAAATGCATATGTTTCATTACCCATATAGCTTTGGAAGGGCTGATGCTACATTACCTAAACAGGAAACATACTTGCAAATAATAACAATAATAATACAGAAATAAGGTATGCAATTTTGGCAGAAGATACAATCAACTTGATCCAGGCCTGTTTAAATAGGCACATGCTCTGGTGTGGACTCATAACTCACACACAAGCAGTAAGTTTGTTAGAGGCCACTTTGTGCATATATCCACATAAAGCACATCAAGCCACCCTCCCCACCCCCATGCTTGAAGCTGACAGGAAAGGCCACCTTAGCAGGACTGCCAAGAGTCAGAGCATACACAGAGCTTTGGATCAAAGCAAGTTAAGTACCAGCAGTGCTGTAGATTGATCAGTATAATACCCATATTTTAAGAGACATGTAACAGCCTACCTTGAGAATGTCCTGAAAAAACATTAAACATTATACACATGATGAGGTAAATGTACCTTGGTCTTTTAAAGAGGTAATTTAAGTTAAAGCAACCGATTTTCTACAAACATGTAAATATTTCATATACCACTGAAACCACTTTAATGGCACAGTATAAATGAGTATCTAAAATGAAGTGGATTCATGGTATTCAGATGACAAACTTTTTTTTGTCGAAATAACCTCTTCCATATGGACGTTATAGAAGGTTACCAAAACCTGGACAAACAAATTGAAATATATGATAAGACTTAAGCTTTTGAAAATAAAAGACTCCCAAGCAACTCCCTAAAAGAGACCACGGGCTTGAGTCTGCAAGAGCTGAGCAGGGTGACTGAGGACAGGACATTTTGGAGAGTGCTCATTCATAGAGTCAGAAGTGACTTGACGGCACATAACAGCAAGTTCCAATATTCAAGAAAGTATAGCTGAGTCTTCTTGAAATAAGACTTGCTACTGTTTACACCATACATCTTATAAGCAGTCTGAAAATATGTCCATGATCTAAAACACAACTTTAATGGTAAAAAAAAAAACTGTATAAAATCCCACATCAATAAAATCACTCCTGTGTGAAAAATAACAATAACTGATTGAATCAGTATCACACAAACAGAACAGATATTGTTTTGAATTCTCATTTAAATGATATAAAATTAATGTTTGAGTGCTAACATATTTTGGTCCCTGGACTTTTAACAAAAATAACATACTCTTTTTAAAAAATATTAATGCTTCCCTAAATAAGTGTTTAAAGGTCTATATTAGAGATTTCATGGAAGTTCATCTCAGCCTTCAGCAGAACCTCACTGCACCTTTCTGATACCTTCCAATAACCAGGCTGGAAAAGTTCTCCTAGTTTTCTTCCCCCTCTTATCCTCAGCAGCCCCCAAAGCACCTTCCTCACATTTCACTTTACTTTCAAGGGGTCAGAGAATGAAGTTTATTCTACCCCTCTCCCCTTTTCTCTTGTGCACCTGATGAGCTAAGCAGTGCAATTGTCTTGTAATCATTATCAAGATTGTGGGGGCTCAAAGGATAAAAAAATGGAGGAAGAAAAAAAATCTTTCATTGCTCTCATGACTGCCAACACTTTCCCTATGTCTCGTTTGAAGATAAGGAAATGAGAAGGTGGAGAGGGTACTCTGGGGGAGAACAGGGATGGCTTGGAGGCAGCAGATAGCCAAAAGGAAAATCTCAACCATTCAACTTGGCTTAGGACATTTCCCAAATATTCTGATTTAGGTGAGAAAAACTTGAGGAAACAAAGCCATTCCAATGAAAACATCAGAGGATTTGTCCACCTCTGATCGATGTACAACTTTGCAAGCTGCAATGGGGAAAAACCATGTGTAACACTTGCAAAAAACTCATTCATGAGTAATCATGTATAATTTTTGTGATATATAAGATCCCTAGACCAAAGCCTTAAACTGACCTTTCTCATGTTTTGAGCAGCTCTGCAGTAGTCCCCTTTTACAGGTTCTGTCATATATCATGGAAGCTTAACGTAAAAGGATCATCAATCATAATTAGAAATCATTTGGTTTTAGGGAAACTATGGATAGTCAAGGTGACATAGATGCTATACAATTAAAATTTATTATTTTCATTTTGCATCTCTGTAATTACGACTGGTGATCCTCAGTCTTAATTTTGAATTCATGGGCAAGTTAAACAAAGTCAAAGTCAAACCAGTACATTTTAGCTTGCCATCTATCCTTTATAAAAATTTAAACCACTTTTAAGACTATTTTTTTAAAAATTTGCTTCATAAATGTAATTGCTTTATAGTGACCCAAGATTTGCAAGCAATAAGATATGCCTTAAAGCATAAACAGTATAACTGTTTTTCACTGTTCAATGTATAAAACAAGGTGTTATAACATGGGATATTTCAGTAGTTGACATTAACATTTTACTGTTAACATATACCAGATATCCCAAAATACCCAAAACAAGCAGTCTGCTAATTTCCAGTTGTCTTATAACAGAGGCTTTGATTGATTTTAGACCTGTGCAAATACTGCTGCATCTTAAATTGGCTGTGAGACCAATGCTAGACCAATGCTAGCAGCATACAGTGCCCCTCTATGGTCAGAGTCCACTGTACTAACAACTATTAAAATAAGTGTATTCTGACACAGTAGAGATAAGAATTCCAAATCCTAGGAAAACTCATTTTGCACATAGGGTGTAATCTTGTCAGACTAATCTAAATAAATTGGCTAGAATCTTAATGATTTTTGTGGAAGATTCATAATTTGCAGCTGCTAACAGGCGAGGGGCTGTAATACATCTTGATTGTGCAATGTGACTAGGCACAACACTAAGATGCACTTTGTCAATACAATTAGCCAGAATAAGTTATGAAAACTTTACACAAACATCAACAGGGTTGTTGCTATTTCTTTTTATGTACGAGTCACCCTTGAAGAAAAGGAGACATAGCTGATATTTTAGCAAAAAAATTCTATGTAGAAAACTAACCACCCCACCCACCCACGATGACATTAGAGAGCTATGTTACTTTTACAGATTAGTTCTTAGATCAAATTTAATTAAGAACCTTGGAATACTCTTTATAAGAGTAATTTATAGTTAAGTACCATTTCTGGTATCACAGTGCGGTGTAGCATAGAATATCACTGTGATAACAGCACTAAATTAATCTGTATAGTTCAAATCCTACAGACTACAGAGTTAGAGGTTTTTGGTAAAAAGAAAGGAATTCCATGTGCAAGTATGAAATTCCTTTTTAGTTAAGAATCATAGCATTTAACACCTTTCTACAAGCACCAAAGACATTGCATGTTCCTGATGAATTGCATTAAGATTCAAAAGTGGCACTAACTGGTACAGTACAATGAGTATTGAAGGCAAGTAATGTAGTGAGGCAAAAGAACAAAAACATATTACAAAATATAGTTGCATATGTTGTATATGTTCCTCCAGGCTGGATGAGGTCATGTCAGTAAATCCTGAAAAAAAGTGTCCAATAGTAATTTCTTGGTAGCAAAACAACCCTATAGAATCTGATGGGAAAAGCCAAGAGTGGTTCAGAATATACAGCGTACCATCATGAGCAAAGCAAAAACTCTGAAGTCATCCTTCAACGCAATGAATGGTGTGCACCAGCATATCATCTTAAGCATGATCTTCTGTTCTCAACACAATAAGGCCAGTGTCAACCCTTAAAAAACAGAGCTATAGTTTACTAAGCCCCAGGAAAGACATCTTCATAGTGCGCAGTATGAATCTGTACAACCGTTTAATGAATCTGTACAGGTCCTAGGCTAATAGCAGTCTTCCTATCATGTGTAAAAGGCAGCAGGATCTTTCTGTTCCCTCTGTGAGGTAGAACCATTAGCCTTCCCAATGCAGAAAAGAGGTGCAGTTGTAGATCTTTAAAAGTTTCCTTCTGAATGAATAATCTCCATGACTACATTTTTATGCCTTCTTGCTGACTGAGCTGGGATAGCGTTTTCTTTATGCGTAAAGCTGTTAGCCTTGCTGCACCATTAGCATACCAACATTCTCGCATAATCTTGGCCATTACTCGCAATGCCTATAAAAAAATAAAACAGCAACCTTAGTTTACATAGCAAGACCTCTCATTTTGGAATATCACAAGATATTCAGGTAGCCTTATTAAAATGTTTTACAATTGTATGATCAGCTGTGTCTATTGACCACAAAACAGTGAAACAATATTGTTCAAGATGTCAGAAGAATCCTGAAGTTATCTTATCTCAAAGTAAAATAGTTTCAAATTCTAATATTAAAATGGTTTGGCAGAATGCAAGCCTTGAGTTACATGCAGCCACTTAGAAACCCCAGCAGACCTTCAGGTCGCTTCTGGTCTTGAAAAAAATCCCCCTGAGCCTAGAAAAAGCTCAGGGACCCCAAAAGATGGCAACATTGCCCCTAATCCCTATGTCAGTGAAGTTTTTAAAGGAATACTGAAGGGTATGGGTTTTCCTAAGTCCACGAAGGCATCTGCAACCTTAGACCTCTACAAGTTGCCCACATTTGCAATTAAAAAGCACTAGCTTGATTTAATGTTTGAAAATATTTTAAATTTTGACACATTTAGAAAAAACTCACCTCACAGCTCTGCCATCTGTTGGGAATATTGGGTCGAAGTTTCTGTTCACAAACAACTTTCCTCATTTCTTCAACTGAAGGATCAGAAGGGACTAGATCATAGTAAGGTAATTGGTAATCTTCATGAATTCCTGAGATGTGCAAAGAAAAATATAGGTTAAGGTTCTGCCTTAAAAGGATTGAATAAATTCTGTTTCATTTCTTTGTGTACATACCACCAATTGAACATCGGCGAGCTATTTCCCAGAATACTAATCCCATTGCATATATATCTGCTCTTTTGAAAGATTCAAAATGTTTCATGTTTATGGAATCATCAAGTACTTCAGGAGCCATGTACCTAATAAAATAAAAACCAATCTATATAAGTCAATCTGAACTTCTATTACATTGAAGGCCTGATACCTTTGTCTCACCTCTTCAATCTCAGATCTGAAAATCCTGAACACAAACAAGACCTGCTTATCTCTATTGTTTCTTAAATGTGTAAATTAAGCTCCCTTGGGCCCTGCAAGGGGGAAAAGCAGGACACACACCCCTCCAGGTACTTATTCTCCTGTTGGCTCCTAGATATGTTTGATGAAGTCTTGTCATATGAACACTGGCTGCCAGCTACCTTAGTCACATCTTAGAAAAAGGTCATTTCTTTGAAATGTCATTGGCTGAAATCCCGTCACTTAGCATAGCAAGCAACTATACACCACTGTATCTTGTATAGCATGTGTGAACTCTGTATTTTACCTGATATGTCTGAAGAACTGGACTTGTGTATGAAAGTTCACATTAAAATATAACAGTCTTTAAAGTGCCACGAGGTTTAATCTTTTAAAAATATTTTTTTTCCTTTGGGTTTTGCCTGGTATGCTTAGCATAGTAAGTCACACTGGAGCAGTGATGGTGAACCTTTCTTAGCCTAAGTGCCCAAACTGAAGAAAAAAAACAACCCAGTGGGTGGTGGTGGCAGAAGCAGAAATGGTGGCGGAAGGGGGAATCCCGGGCTCGGAGGGGCCTCCAGACCCCACTCCGGATCTGCCTCCAGTCGTGCTTACCCCTGCCACTGCCTATAACTCGGTTGGCCTGCCGTCACAAGTGCCAGCTGCTCCGGATCCTGGCCTGCCACGTGTTGGGACGCTAGCATCACAGCTGCAGCCGCCTCCTCAGGTTTGGCTGCCGGGGGTAGCGATCTAGTGACTTATGGCTTGCGTGCCCACAGAGAGGGCTCTGCGTGCCTCTGGCACATGTGCCATAGGTTCACCATCACTGCACTAGAGTAACCCCACTTGAACCAATGGAATTTATGGAGGGGTTGGCTCACCAAATCCTCACTACAGGCTTGCACTAGTGCAACTTAGTACACTAAGCAACAGGGTTTCAGCCAGCATTCAGTCCAAATGTAGTTCCATAGTTTCCAGTATTTATTCTAAATCATTCCTATGTTATGGAGAAATTCAGTATCCTATCATTCAGTAGTGACATGTAAAAATGAAACATGAAACAGTAAAGCTTGATGGAACACAACACCTAAGTCAAGATTTAAATTGCAGGGCTTTTTGTATGTAAACCTACATATAAAATTGTGCTGCTTTGGATTATAAGAACATAATGGCTGTATTTAACAGACTTTGCTGAATCCTGCTGACTAGCCTTCTGGTTTACAGCCATGTAATACATTCTTATAAAAGGTGATAGTTTACCTTTTTGTTCCCACTCTGTGGTTGGGTGCAATATCTATTGTGTCTGTAGCTGAATCGTGTCTTACTGCAAGACCTAAGTCGGCAATACAGCATGTTCCATTCTTTTTTACCAGTATGTTCTTTGATTTCAAATCTCTGTGAGCTATAGCTGGCTTCCCTACAATAAAACCATATGAGAAGCATTAATAAATAATTTATATCAATAAATATCTTGATATTATACAATGAAACTCACATTCATTGTTGAACTCTTGCATTTGTTCTGGTAGAACAAAATTTTAAAAGTTTTAAGGGCCCTGAACTTTCTGAATTAGACTATTTGACAAACATGAACAATACTGATACAATATGAACCTCTTCACTGCTTAAGATAAATAATGTAAGATAATTGTTGCGACAAATACACCTACAACCAAATAAGACCATAGCTCATCCTCAAATCTCAGCAGTCCGAATTTGATAAATAAAGATGGATGCGTGTAAATTGGGTATACAAAATACCCCAAGTTCCATCTAGCATCTCTACATAAGGATAGGAAGGAGGGCAAGCTGACACCCTGGAGCCCATGTAAAAGTCAGCACAGGCAACACTGAACTAGATGGACACATAGTCTGACTCAGAATAAAGCAACCTAATGTATTTCTAATAGCTTTTTATTTTTAAAAAATTACAAGTAGATCACTTTAGTAAAATGTAAAGACAGACTTCCAGGCACTATAAGGTTGCACTCAGTACTTTAACACTCCTTTAGTCCTCATATGTCTTTCCTGATGCTGCAAGTAGGATGCTAGCTGTAAGCAGCCAGTGAACAGATGAAGTACACTCGCTGGACACTAGGGAAAGTAAAGGGCCATACATGCTGTTTACTGCTCTTGACATTATGATACCAGCATCAAGAAAATAAAAAAGTGCACTTTTTATTGTGCATAGTGATAGCTCACATTTGCTCACACATGATTATAGCAAATACTTTTTTTTTTTTTTTTTTTTTAAAGATCCAACTCTTCTCTTTTCAGAAAGAAGTCTACATAGGGAACTCTGGAAGGCAACTTCAAACAACTGACACAGATGATACTGACATAGCCTTACTTGTTATGCTTAATAGGGAAAAATACACTTTAAACACCCAAAAAATTTAACACAAAACGACTATGAATGTTTTATTAACAACTGAGTCCAAAGAGAAGTGAAAGCATTTTTTCCTGAAAATAAAGTGGGTAAACTAGTGTACATTGTTAGAAATCTGAGGGCACAAAATTAACTTATTTATTGTTGATTGCATTAACATAACAGTTTTCTCATTAGACCATATTGATAATGCTATATGCGTAATACATAGGTTACCTTGAGTGCCAACAATCTCCATGTGAAGATGTGCAAGTCCACTGGCAGTAGATAATGCTAGTTTTATCATTCCTTCTACAGTAACTGTATATCTGTTTAGGTAGTCAAACAGAGAGCCATGCTCATGATAATCTGAAACTAGCCAAAGCTGTGTCCATGTCCCATTGTCTGTAAAATAGATTATAAAATATCATGCAAACACCAAATACAAACACACACCAGAATATACTAAAGAATAAGGAAAATGCAATCCTGCACATGTTACTTTTATTACATCCCAGAAAGTCAATGAAATTTAATTGTCTTTGCAACATAATTAAATTTTTGTGCTCTTAACTTTTATCTCTGTAATAATTTTTTACAATGTTTAAATAGTCTAGATAAATAATGAACAAAAATGTTGGAAGGAACTGATTATAACTAATATTAACAATTATTATTATTAACAAATGAATAATCTACATGACAATTCTCTGAGTAGCAGAATCTTGGAAAGCTATATGCTACCAAACATTAGAGAAAAATTGTAATATAATTTGCAGCATTTTAGAATGAATAGCAAAATATTTCTCATTGCAGGTGTTGGACTCTTTCACGAAGAAGAGAAATGTGGCAATTTACTTCTCTTCAGAAATTAGATTTATATGCAGGGCTTGAAAAATGCACTCGTCCAATCATCTGTGACGAGTGAAAAATGCTGCCCATACTGCTCGAGGAGCCTCTCTCTCTCTCTAATCCTACAGTCCTCCCCTCCCCCTTTCCATTGCAAAAGGAAAACTGCCCTCTTCTTGCAAGAAGACAGTTTGAGTGGCACATAGAGATATAGCTCTGCAGGAAAATGTAGAGTAGTCCCATTCTGGAGAATATGGAGATTCCCTGCTCCCAATTTCAACCAAATGAGGACACATCCTGCGGTGGGAGGAAACCATAGCTCCTTAAGAGGCCAGGCACTTTTGCTTTCAGTTTTATTTTTGCTGGAGGCATTCAAAAGAAAGGCATTCAAAATACAAGCTTCATGACTCCACAATAGAACAACCCAAGTCTGAGGGCATAAATCAGTGATTCCCGTGTACATAATACAATTTATTTTGGGGTTGTACACATTGCTACGTAGAAATAAAAGTAAACAAGTGCCTAGTTTAAATTTGTTAACAAAAATTGTAAGGCTACAGTCTGGTCATGCTGACTGGTGAAATTTTTGACTGACTGGTAAGATAGTCTCAAATTTTTCAAGCCCTGTTTATATGGCTGAAATCTTGTTGCTTAATGTAGTAAGTTGCAACTAGAAGCCCACTGAATCCTTGGAACTTACAGAGGACTTGAGTCACCAAATTGCTACTGATTCAACCAGTCTACTCTAGTCGTGATGTACACTAAGCAACAGGATTTCAAGCCATAAATATTTACCAGGGATTAAGAGCCATAGAATTTAACATTATTTAGTTTTGACTATGCTGTGTAGGAACTGATAGAATACATGAGCTGAAATATAAATAGTAAGTCAATGCAAAATTATCCTAGACTATTAAAAGCACTTTGAATTTTTTTACAGCTATTCCCAAAATAATTTGTTTCCAAAATATGCAAAAGTTTGTTTCAATGAATGTTTCTGTAGAGTGATATGCAAAGATTCGAATATATAATATTATGAATGTAACAAGATTAGATTTTTTTGAAAACTTCATAACCTTTGTTGTCTGCAGCTATAAACCCAAGTATATTTTCATGACGTAACATAACAGTCTGATAGATTTCTGCTTCACGAAACCATGAACGCTCTTCTCTTGATGAAAAAATTTTCACTGCAACTTCTTCTCCTCTCCATTTTCCTCTCCAGACTTCTCCAAAACGACCTTTTCCAATACTTTCTTGTAGTACAATTGTTCTTGCAATTGTCCTTTGAACGAGTAATGGTAAACCTGAAAAATCAAAGTCTGTTTTACAGTTTCTGACAAAAATCCAGTTAATTACTCCAGACTTTGCTAATAAGCTAATGCTTCATTTAGACCAGTTACCAAATAAGTCTCAGTAGGATTAGACTCACCCTCTGGCATGGCTATGAGAATGCTTCTGCTTCCATTAGATCCCATCCAATGTGGCCAATGTTCAGGGATGATAAGAACTTCAGTCCAACAATTTTAAAATTGCCAGTTTTCCCATCCCTGTATCAGACCAACAACCCTTTGTTGTCTCATGTCTAAACTAAAACAAAATGTGTCCTGTCTTTTTAAACTTCAGTCAAGCTTGACTGTTTCAATCAACCACAGTTAAGAGTAGCTGCTACTGAAGATGCTGATGTCACAACAAGCACTGTTTGCTCCAGAAGAGAAACTCCCAAACCTTTTCAGCTGACAGGTTGAATGCTAACTCCAGATTTGGCATTATCTTCATCTAATATTCCCTCTAAATGTAGCTAGTCTTTGTAATCGTTGTCTACAGAACAATGAAAGAAACAGTATCATATAAATTCTATATTTTTTTGAAGATTTGGGATCCCAGTTCCCTCATGGCATCATAACTATGGAATTAGGTTGTCATTCACTGTATTATACAATGAATCTTTTTGGAAGATTCAAAGAGATAGTGAGGCTTTCAGCTGTCCTGCCTCATGTTGTTCTTTCATTGTGGATTTGAAGCAGTTTGGTAGAACTGTGTAGAAAGCCAAGAAAATCTTACAAATCTTGAAATTAAGATCATTTCAGTTAGGGTCTCTTCACAATAGAGAACTGGATTTGGACTTGCCACTGCAGCTAAACTTCAGACAATCTTTACTTTTGACTTGTAAGATAAATATGTTCTGTTTTTGGTAAGGGCAATCGTAAACCAAACAATCAGCAACAGGATGCTTGCCTACATGTAAGAACCTCAAAATCCCAGAAAAAATAGGATTTAGCATGTTGCTATATATAGTACTATTACATTCTAAACATAATCTGCTGATATATATGGGGTAAACCCCTAATACCTGATCCAGATCCTGAAGTAGTCATATCATAAATTAAATCTTTCAGTGTAGTTCCCTCAGATATAAAGGGACGATCCATTGAAGGATCTTCTTCACTTGGAACACGATGGTGTATGACTGTACGATTGTGGCAGATATATAGAACCAGCATAAGTGAAATGCAAACAAAGCAAACAGGCCCAGCAATGACAGCTGCCAATTCCACTGGTCCTAAAGCAGATGGAGGCTTTCCTGGTACAGGACCTAAGAGTTGAGGGAGGAAATGGGAAAGAAAGAGAAGTGAGGCAGAAATAACAATCTAATAGTAAATAATACATACTCAGTTCCTGGTGGTTTATGGAATAAACGAGAACTAAATTTCTATAGACATATATCTACCAAGGGATCCTTTCCCTTGCTCCCCAGTATTCTCATTCATATTCAAATATCAAAACAGAAGTGAGAGAGGTTTAAAGCAAACATAGCTTAGCTATGAGCTATTCCACTGTTTAAAGTTATACTATTTTCTCTTCTCTTATGCTTTGTATGTTTTGCAAATTTAATTAAATTAAATTACCTGGTGTTGGAATTGGAAGATCTATTTTATTGCAGAAGTCTTTATCACAGCAATGAGGCATAGTGGTAACTCCTTCATTTGTTGAGAGGGCACAAATAAAAGGCCTGTCTCTTGGAATCAGATCAATTTCTGCTATGCACATGCTATTACGTATGATTTTATCTCCATTGCGTGTTACTGAAGTAATGCAGAGCCCATCCGTCGTGCATGTAAAGTTATCTTTTGTACAGAGAAGGCAATAACACTGTAAGGCTGTATAAAAAAAGTTAAACACTGTTGATATTAAGGAATTCAACTGCACTTAAGAGACTTATTGAACTTAAGAGAGATTTACAGTACTTCGAAACAGGAAAATATACATTTTAGTCCTATTCACCAAACAGACTTTAAGTAAGCCTAGTGTCCAATGTCTATGAGAGCAAGTTTCCTTGTTCCTTCTAATGCAGTTCTTCTAAAGTGACATCTACAGTACTGGTAGAAGGGATCTGCTTGCAAATAGATCTTCACTGCATCAATAGCAGCTTTTTGTTAGATACAGCATATTAGCAAATTTCTTTAAACCTTAGTAAGTAGTTGTAGCCTAGTATGAATAAAATGGCTTTTAATTAAGATTTTGTAACAAATGGACACAATTATCTTGGCATCTAAGTAACACCAATCACATGCTATACTTTTACTGACTGTCTGAAAAGAACTTTAAAGAAAAAAATTCTTCCAATGACGTAAAGGATGACATTTCATCACTGTCTATTAATACAACAAGTGCATAAATTAGGTAGATCTAGTTGACACAATACCTACTCATATTTCTGCTGCTTTTGTGATCAGGAAGTGTAACAGGAGTATATCTGTTGTAATGGTGTATTACAGATAACAATTTATTCAAAACCTCTTTCAGCCACCTTAGAAAAGGATCAATCTCATGTCAGCATCCTCAGATATACTCTGAAGACTGGACCAGGTTGTCCTAACTCAGACCCTCCATTCTTATTGCTTATGCAATATTGAATAAGACATCTGAGACAAAGCAGGCTGATCAGTTTCTTATGACTCCATCAATTGTCAAAATCTTATTGTGCCACTAGAGGTTCTGGCTAGAGTAGCTGAACTAGCACTGAGGTGGAGGTGATTCCTGAAGCACTTCCACAGACGCATTGCGCAACCTGTACCAGAGATGCATAACTGATTGCACAAATGCAAAGCACAGCTCCTTGCTGCCAGGCATAATGGTATTTTGCCCAATGAGATTTGACACTGGCCTCTACAGACTCTTGTGGCAACCTTTGGATCAGACATCCACATTGACAGTAAGTAGTACCTAAAGAGTTGTACTAGAGTGGAAGAAAATCTTCACCCATTTACAGATGTCTGATATTCCTGAGGCTCCCCTATAGCTTGAATTATTGCCACTGATACACTCATATTTCAGAACTGCCGAATCTCATGTACAACATCTACTCCGAACAGTAAGTAGAATGTTATTAGAAATGCATAAGATTTGCCGTGTTTTATTGATTTTCAGTTTTTGTAAGAACTTTCTAAAAAGCTGTCATATGCTAGGATGCTGTCAGAGGTAAGGTGAAGTAGACCAAAGCTGGATTTGTCACCCAGACTGTGATGAAACCAGCAGAAAAGGAGTTAATAATCCTCTCTATTTCTTTTAAAATCTTAAAATTTAAGAGCTAACTAAGAAAGCAAGTTCAGGGAATTGGTTAGAGACATCTCCAGCAACTGTGAAGCCTTGTTTATGACATAGGAATATCTTCCCAAAAGAAACCCCTTGTCTAGCTTCTCAGGACATATGGATTGTTTGCACCTGTGGAGATCCTGGGAGTGCTCTTGCAGCAAAAACCAATTAACCACCTTCATCTGATTGGTGGGAAATTTCAGCCAGCTCATGAAGGGATGATGGGATATAAGGTGAGATAGAATAATGGGTTAGTTAAGCAGTAGCTAGCTTATAACAATAAGTTTCTTCATGTTTGCTTCATTATATAACTATTATCATACTGAGCTCTGCTTATTCCTTGGAACTATGCTATGTTGTAAGTATAGCTTAGTGTTAGATAGTAAGGGTTTGAAAAATGCACTCGCCCACTTATCTGTGATAAGTGAAAAATGCTGCAGGATAGTCACAACTCCCTCCCTCCTTGCCTCCTTCCCCTCTGACTGTCTCTCTCTCTCTTTCTAATCCTACAGTTCCCCCCATTGCAAAAGGAAAACTGCTCTCTTCTCACAAGAAGAGTTTGAGCAACACAGATATATAGCTCTGCATGAGAATGTAGAGTACAGTGGTGCCCCGCTTGACGACATTAATCTGTTCCATTAAAATCGCTGTTAAGCGATATCATCGTCAAGCGAAAAAAACCCCATTGAAATGATTGAAAACCGGTTCAATGCGTTCCAATGGGTGAAATACCTCATCGTAAAGCGAAGCTCCTCCATAGGGGAAGCCATTTTCGATCGCTGTCTTCCGGAAATAGGTCCGGAAAACAGTGGGCGGCCATTTTGAAACCCCAACGATCAGTTGTTTTTGATCGTCGGGAAGTGAAAAATCGGTTTCCGAAGCAGAGAACCGATCGCCGTGAAGCGGATTTTCCTCACTGAAGCATCATTTTGCAATCGCAGTAACAATCGCAAAAACATCGTGAAGCGATTTCATCGTCTACCGGGGTAACTGTCAAGCGGGGCACCACTGTAGTCCCATGCTGAAGAATATGGAGATTCCCTGCTCCTAATATCAACCAAATGAGAACACATCCTAGGGTGGGAGGGAACCGTGGCTCCTTAAGAGGCCGGGCACTTTTGCTTTCAGTTTTATTTTTGCTGGAGACATTCAAAAGAAAGGCATTCAAAATTCAAGCTTCATGGCCCCACAGGCACACAGGTAATAAACCAACCCAAGTCTGAGGGTATAAATCAGTGATTCCCAATCCCAATAAATTGCAAGGCTATAGTCCGATCATGCTGACTGGTGAAATTTTTGACTGACTGGTAAGACATTCTAAAATTTTTCAAGCCCTGTAGATAGCTTTACTGTTTTCTGTGAGAATGGGTCCTAATTGCCTGAAACTCTGAAGTTACTTATATGCAGGGCTTGAAAAACTGTGACTCGTCCAGCAGCATTTTTCAGTCGTCACAGACGAGTGGACGAGTGCATTTTTAAAGTCCTGTTTATATCCTCTGTAGTATTGAACTGCTACATGTTTTAATAATTTTACTTGAATCAATAGACCTTTTGTTAAACCTACATGTTTTACTAAGATTTCTTCAATAAAATAATAAATAGTTACAACTGTTTTCATTCAGACAGATGGAAGGATCAAAGTTCCTATGCACATAGAAGTTTCGGAGTACAGTGGCGCCTCGCTTAACGAGCGGCCCGTTTAACGACAAATCCAGATAGCAATTCCAGTGGGGCCTCTACTTAAGAACTTAATCCGTATTGGAAGGTGGTTCTCAAGTTGAAAAGTTCTTATGTTGAATCTGCATTTCCCATAGGAATGCATTGAAAACCATTTAATCCGTATCTGCTCTTTTCCGTCCATAGAAACTACAGTGGAACCTCTACTTAAGAACTTAATCTGTTCTGGAATGGTGTTCTTAAGTTGAAACGTTCTTAAGTTGAAGCAAAATTTCCCATAGGAATGGACTGAAAACCAATTAATTCGTTCTGGCTGTTTTTTTGTTATGTAGAGGTGCGTTCGTACTGTACATTGAAGCATTAGTTCCCATAGGAACTAATGCAAAGCTGGTTAATACGTACTCTACCACTAGGGGGAGAATTTTTTTTTAACCTAAGATGACCTAAGGTTAAAAAAAGAGCAGGAAAGGTTTTTTTTCCTGTTCTTATCTTGGATTTCTGTTCTCAAGTAGAAGCAAAATTTAGCAAATGGAGCTGTTCTTAAGGTGAATTGTTCTTAAGTAGGGACGTTCTTAAGTAGAGACCCCACTGTAGGTTTTTGCGATTGCAAAAACGACTGCATAACTATGTTTTGAATGGTAAAAAATCGCTTTGCAACGATCGGTAAGCTGTTTCGCTTACCGATTTTCGCATAGCGATTTTTTCCCAACAGCTGATCGGTGGTTCCAAAATGGCCGCTGGAAAAAATGGCCGCCCGCTCTTTTTTGGGACGGGTTTCTTGCTTACCGGGCAGTGAAAATGGCTGCCGTATTGAGGATTTTCGCTTAAAGGTTAGTTTTTCCCCCACTGGAACATATTGAAGGGATTTCAATGCATTTCAATGGATTTTTTTAAATCGCATAGCGATGTTTTCGGTTAGCAGCAATTTTTGCTGCACCAATTAACATCGCTATGCAAGGCACCACTATATTTTTGTGAGTTTTCAAGTTTCAATCTTGTTGGATTGGTTTGCAACCAGGAACTTATGTTCTCCCTGAAACACCAAGGAGCAAGTGGCTCAGAGGATGTCGGGAGAATGGGCTAACAGGAAGTTTTCCCAATCACTAGTGCACTGGCCCACCTGGCAAGCACTCACATCAGGTAGTACAAGAGTAGTGACTGAGTGATAAGTGGATCCTCTCTGTGGTTACCCAGCATTTGTGACACAGACCACTAAAACAGGAGAAGAAATGGAGGAGAATTTTTAACAAACCACATGAATTGCAGTCAGTGATTCTCAGACTGCCATGCTAGTTTTCCATTAATTCTTACCATCTTGTTCTTTAATGCCAGTCTAATGATAGGGGAAATCTGCCACAATTTATAACATTTGAAAAGCAAACTTAGTTAACTTATACAACTGACACCAAGGCAAATGAGGGTAATGAAAAAGTCAGTACAAACATATCCAGCAGACTTCCCCGACACAGCAGCTGCTCTGATGGATGGTGAAAAGTAGGATTATCACCGTTTTACCTGCTACCATTGCCTTTTCCAAGCATACTGTCTAAGAATCTACAGGGCATGGAATCCAAGACAGGACAAAAGCCCTGACAATGTACCAACCCTGCTGCCCAACAGTATTTCTGCTTATGCTGACAGTAGCAGTGGACGTTTGCACTAATAGAAGACCCCGTTCAGTAAGTGCAACCAAGCTGTGTATCCCACACATCTTAGCAGCATTTGTAGTGCAGGTCATAACATTCTTCCAATACAGTGGTGCCTTGCATAGCGACAATAATTGGTGCAGCAAAAATTGCTGCAAAGCGATTTCGTCGCTATGCGATTTTAAAAAGCCCATAGGAATGCATTGAAAACCCTTCAATGCGTTCCTATGGGCTTCAGACTC